TATAGGATGAAATAAGCTACATTTTTGTTTTGATTATTTCATAAAATTACTACTTGTAAAGAAATTCAAATTCTGGATGAAAAAATTGAAGCTTTGCCAGAAAACTCCATCTGACGAACAGTTACAAGTATAAGTGGTTGTATTTTTCAGATATATTTCGGTATCTTGCAGAATATTAATACTTAGTGAAGAATTAGCAGTGTTGAAGTGCAGTTTCACTTCTTTGGTGGTGTTAGAGGCCTTATAGATTTTATCTTTTTGAGAATCGTGTCCAAATCCACGAACTTCCTCGTCGCCCCAAATAGTATCTCTTTGGAATGACGTACGATATCTGGAACCACTAAATTAGAGAACCTTCAGTTTTTCAAAGTGAATGGAAATGCGATAAACACTGCCGGTAACTGCATGAAAAGTTGATACAGGAGAATTTCCTACCTAAATTTGTCGAACATGAGTTGGCAATCACTTTTCGAGGAGTTGACACGAAATTCGAAAAATCATTTAAGTAATCAAAAAGGCATGCGACCCGAAACGTTTAGGGAAGCGACGAGCAGACACTACTAAATCAAAAGCACATCATCGTTTTAAGAATGTCGAATACATTTTTAAGTGCTATGATGTTCTTTACATTATTCTTGTGTTAACTACGAATCCTGATTGAACTTAGAATCTAATTCCCTGCTGTAACACCGGATTTATTCACACCCTATCACTTTTATTGCTTTAACTATTCATCTCCTTTCTGACATTATTTTTACAGCAGGCCTTCCTTTGTGCTACTTTATTCCCTACCAAACATCTGTAACTACCTACTCTTGAGCACTCGTTTATAAAGTAGGCATTAAATTTTTAACCTCGTGACAATATTGTTGCTAGTGCCAATAACCCAGCTTCTAACCTCGGCCTCGTATCGTACTTTAAACGCGAGTAGCTTCATATCGGATATTTCTGCTGGACTCCGCTGGTGCTGTAATAGTTTTTTTATTCACGAAAACTTTGTTTCCCCACGCTGCTGCCATTAAAATCACATAGAGATCTACAAATAGCGGAAAAATTATTCGCACACCCTTTATTTTCAATGTTTTCTTGAATAACTCGAAAATTAATGAATTTATAAGATTTGATTGAATTAAGCAGTATGTAATAAGGAAAATAGCATTACATTTTCAGAACAAAATGTCATTTTAAAACGTTTTGACATGCAGATATTCTTCAACACCTTCAGACACAATTATTCGTACAGCTGGAAAATACTAACATAGTTGCAATCATAATAATCAATGGCATGTCCTTCCATCTTGATCATCTCCAGCAGTCTCCTTTTATAGTTTTGATGAGATTTGAAGTATTATCCGGTTAAGATATGCATAATTTGCATAATATCGTGAAAGCTAATGTGAATTAAACGCTCACTTTAACAAAACTGACGATATTTATGTCGATTACGTCGACGATGTGTGGTGAAGGTGATGAAGAATTATTTGAGCGATACGATTTATTTTTTGACGTTACCCTACTAGTGTTACGATTTATTGTTATCTTCCCAACTACCAGCAGCGCATTTCGAAAGATAGATACTGACAAGCATGAGTTTCCCTTCATTCATCAACGATGACAGACGTTTCCATTCTTCAGATCTCAGTGACTGACTGTTATTGCTGACAAATAAGCTATTGCTGACGAAACAAGTAAGCTGATGTTGCTTGCGCTTGACCAGTATCACTGGCCCCCTACTTGCGCTGATCTCTGCCGGGCCTCATTTCCAGCTCTCGTGGCAACTTTTGCCATTTTCCTCATAAACTTCGCTATCGCTGCCGGCCTAGCTCCCCCATAGACACCCTTCCCTCTTTCCTGCGAGGCTTTCTGCCTCCCTGGGTTAGTGGTCTCTGCAGACTCTTTGCGCTCGAGCAATAAAGGAGCGAAAATATCTAATCCTGCAGGTTGCCATAGAGTCGAGTGGCGGCTGAGTTTAGGCGCGGTAAAGAAAATCGATGTCGGCTGTTGTAAACCAATGATTCCTGATGCGACCCGCGTTCGGTTTCCTGTTTTACTGCACTAACCTGGATTAGCGAATGTATTGAGCGCATTCTAAATATTCGAATTAATTGCAGCGTAAGCTAGCATAATTACACTTTGGGGGCTAATGCATGATAGTATCTAATGAAATATGACTTTTATAAATCGAGCGCGTAAATAGCCCCTTCAGTTGATCTCTCAACTTCAGTTGATCTCTCAACTGCAGATCTGAAACTCTCAACTGCTAATGCAGATCTGCATGCTATCACTTATGATTTTGTGAACTTAAGTTGCAGAAGAAGAGCATACTCTCTACAACGCTTCATCACTTTCATGTTCATTGACAGATAACTTATGACCGATCTGAAGTGCATGATTATCTTTATCTTTTTCTCTTAGCTTGGATATAGTCGGCGTACTCTGTGTGTTATTGAGAATATTTTGGAAATTATCGACCTGTTACCGATGGCCACTGATGTTCGAATTAATGGCCACCCATACCCGTCCACGTTAGGACCAGCGTAGACGCTCGTGTGTACAAGCAGCTAGCGCTGCTCGTTTGCAGCGCCGCTGGCAGAAGAATGTATCATTTTTGCCCGCGGCGTTTGACTCATTTTAGGTTGGAGTGGAAAGAGAAGGATGAGTGCGTGGCTAATGAATCAGCAGAAGAGCAGATACCTGTCAAGGTTCCGGCCCTCCCCTCACCTACCTTGGCTCTGAAATATAAGTGTACACCATAGCTGCCCTGCCTTGAAACTGCTCGTCTGCACCGTTTACCGTCAGCCTCATAATAAGTATCGTTTTTTACTTGCGTCCTGTACATGCAATTCCGTTTCTAAGTGCTTTGTCAAGAGTGTCACAATAATTGCTGATCTTCATTACAGTTTACCATTTTTCAATGGATTGTAACCCTATTATTCTATGTTTTATATATAAAAATCATCGTTGATGATTAATGTATGCTTTGTCAAAAGGTTCAAAAACGTAATGCATAATCTTGCTGGAATAAGTTTCGTCCTTGAGCACGTGTGTGGAATGACGCGTGTACCAATTTGTGTTTTCCATAAATAATCTCTTAGCATAGTATTCAACTCGTTACTCTACTTATTAAGCTAGAATAAAAATCCATTGTTCTCCTTAGTGGATTGCGTCAATATCGACTGTAATGCCATGCAACGTAAGTCGTGTGATACGAGCTAATTACGGTAATAGCGCACCGTAAGTCTAGATGCCTCGCAGAATTCCATTTACTTGTGTTGCTGCCTGAACACACAAAAAAAAATCTGGCAGCGGGAGCTGCAATGTCGGGAGTGTGGCGTTCAATAGAGGCAACATTTAGCTGAGCTCTAAAGCCTATTACGTCGACCGCACCGCGCCCGTTTTATCGGGCCAATACTCTCAAGTTTTCCCTCCACAGGTCGCCCTCTTGACGCACTTGTTATCTTTTGAGTCTGCCCTCTCTTTTAGTTCAAGAAAAGTTTTCCATGTTACTTCTAATGCATTTCCATTTATTTGTTTATTCGTCGTTTAATTCTAATAACATTTCGTAGTTGTCGTCCCTGAATCAAATATGAAAATGTTCTTTTTTCAATTTAGTTTTCTTTGCCTGAATGAAAGTGATTTATGTATTTTACTTCCCAGCGCACCATTTTTTCAACCCTTCTGAAATCACAAGTATTATTCCTGCTCCGAACATGATAATCTTTTGTTACTTGAAGCATGTGCCCTCTCCTTCGTCTTCCTTCATAGTCTCAAATCAGAACAAGTTTTTAATTAGTTGCAGCTCGCTATCCATCCGTGTTTTCATCAACCAGAATTCTTTTTATTCTTCCCTTTGTTGTTATTTTTATTTTTAAACTTCGAGACAGCGAACACTGATTAATCACCACGGATTGTTCATTACGTTTACTACTTTGGATCTTTGGAAAGTCAACTGCGTCCATGCCTTCTTTATTATGCCACTGGCGAACATTCTTGGTGCATTTTTATCATAAGCTTCACCACATTCAAGTTTGAACAGGGATTTAATACATTTTTTTCTGCTAAACTACTCCAGCCACATCCAATACTAATGTAGTGTGTGACTTGTGCACTCCCTTCCACGGCTAAAATCTTCGCTGGGGCTCGGAACTCGGCTTCCGCCCTTTATAAGCCATGCCAAGAAATCGAGAGGAAAGTTCAAAGAACGTGTGTGTGAGGTGCCTGCATGACATTGTGCTGGGTCCTTTATGCACTGCAACCAATGTACTTAGCTTGCTTGACTTGCCGCCATAATCCCTGTAATGTGTATACGGCAGTACGCTTTCGCTCGCTGCCTTGTTTGCCAAGCTTGACTTGAGAATTTCTGTCCTTAGAAAGGAGCTTTGAATCTCAACTAGGATTTTAGGGGTAAACTTGGTGGCTTCACATTCCCATACATGGCAGGTCACTTGTTAACGCTCGTCTGGAATCCCATTTTCGTTGCTGAGATTCACTTCACTGTAGGGTGACTAAGCCAACTTTGCGAATTTATTTCAAGTGAAGTATATCCCTCTGAAGACCATTTATATGTTCATTACTTCACTGTTAACAGTAAAAATAGGTAACATTTTTTGCACTTTAATTTTCGAATGTTAATGAAGACTTTAATAATGAAATGCGAATTATATTCTTCATTGATTTTGACATTTTGTATTTACGATATTTTTCTTGAGGACAAACCCAAAGCAATTTTTATTCTACTCAATAAATGTTCATGCTGCTATACCTAGTTGACTGATTTTCTCAAAATTTTCATTCATACTTGTAAACTCGAGAGAAAAAAATAATCCTGTCCATTGGCCATTGTTAGTATATGCATGCGTCATCCTGACACAGTTTGACCAGTCAAAAAAGGCTTATCAATTCAACATGCAGAAAGTATGTCGCTACTTGGACAATACGATCCATTCACTTTTGCTAGTGTTGATGGCCTGTGGTTGACGCATTTTTCTCTTGATCTACAGAGCGGAACTTGTGCAGTTGGGTGTACTGCACGCTGGTGTTGATGGTCGCTTGCCTCGTGTACTGGAACGCGCTGGGTTGTGGCTTCGTATTCGATGACATCTCAGCCATCAAAGAGAACAGGGACCTACGCCCCCACACGCCCATCTCCAACCTCTTTCTGCACGACTTCTGGGGCACTCCTATGCAGAAGGTAAGCATTAATTATTACTGTGGTTCTTATTGTATGTGGATTTTAGCACTTTAGCCTTTGTTAGACTGTATAATTTTGCCACCTTATATCGAGTTAATGTACAGTTGTACCTATGCAATCCATCATGTGTTAAATATCTTATCGAAAATTAATGATGGAACTGCAAAATTTACTTTTTGGAGATTGACGTGTAGTGTATCAAGTTACACTGACAGTCAGACGATACTATCGCAATCTGCATCGCATCAGAAAAAGTTATCGTAGGCAAAGCACGGCAAATACTGAAGATGGTTTAGTTCGTGAATATTTTTGTGTAGAATTTGTCCCATTATTGTGAAGAATAAATTTCTCGTCGACTGTAATTGCCTATAAAATATGTCATCTGGCTTGCCGTGGGAATCGGTTTAATTAAGTTCAATCGGTCTAAACTTTTATCCTTATTTCGAATAAAATTTGTTTAGGAAGAGTATATATACACTGATTTTACTATTTTCTATTCAATTAAGTATATAATTTGACTACATGTTTCCAATTTTTCACTCTACTATGCAAATTTTCTGTCTGGCTTCATTTGAAATTTTTAAATTTGCATTATTATTTACTGCCTTACATGTAAAATAGTCGATTTTATACTTTCTTCTGTTCAAGCACTCATTGGTTATCATGATTCTTGACCAAGCGAAAAATAAGATGAAAAATTAAATACTTATGATACATTTCGATGATCCCTATGAATTTACTTGGAATTTCCTTTAGACGATTTCGTGCCTTGAATTAAATGTATACATTATGAAGAGCTCTCTCGAAAGTGCTTCCTTGAGATGACTCGTTATCGCCATGCGTCCGATCTGAGCGTATAGTGTGGCTTGCTCAGAGACTTCTAATTATAATCCCATCGATTACTCGGCCCATTATAGTGAGACGGCTGCTAGCAATCCTTCCGCTGTCCCACTCAACCACTCTCACATTTATCCCCCACTCAACCCCTCTCACATTTATCCCCCCACTCAACCACTCTCACATTTATCCCTCCACTCAACCACTCTCACATTTATCCCCCCACTCAACCACTCTCACATTTATCCCCCCTCTCAACCACTCTCACATTTATCCCCCCTCTCAACCACTCTCACATTTATCCCCCCTCTCAACCACTCTCACATTTATCCCCCCACTCAACCACTCTCACATTTATCCCCTCTTCTCCCACTCTATATTCCATTGCACTCTTGCTCCTTTCATACTGCGATGGGTAATAGCTCCGCTCATGACGTTGTATCAGAAGCTAGTCTCGCTTACTTCTTATGTTTGTGCTACTGTTGCCTATTTATCAAATGATTTTCAATTACATTTTTTTATCAAATTACACCGCTCACTATTTACACGCTCGATATCGCTGCTTCTAATATCTTTTTCGCTTATCCGTGGACGGTTTTTTATTTGGGGAAAGAGGAATTATATTATTTTTTGAGTTTTGTTTGCAGATAACCTCGAAAAGGTATATAAATTATAAGAAAAATTTTTTTTAATCCGAGTTAACAAAAATAATAAGTTCATTTCATAATCCCTTGATTTGTCATTCCTGCAATTTCCACTCGGTCTTAATTAGGAATCGAAATTTAGTTGCTCCTGAAATTTCATTTTGCTAATTTATAAATGAGTGTTTCTCAATGAAATGCTCTACTTGCGTGGGAGTCGCCGTCGTGCTCTCAATTCCTCAAAAGTCAACTTAATCATCAAGTTCTACTTGATGCCTCGAATTTCTCTCAAAAAACTCAATGAGGCATCTTTCATCATCTCCCGTCAATTTACATTATGATCCATTCATTGCGTTCAAGCTCCCTTTCTATAAAATGAAAGGTTCTCCTTCTCTAATTTCAACTGCAAATGATGAAATACTAAAGTGACGGAAATTCAAGTTTATTACTGCAAGTTATACGCGTGCATCTCCTTGCGCCGTGTGGTTGACATCAATAATCTCCCTTTTTTATGAAGTATTATTACCATCATGTGAAGCAATTTCTAATTTTTCACAACGAGCCGCATTAGTGCGCATGCTATCTCTTCCAGTTAGTTTACTGGAATGTTCTCTCATGTTAAGATGCAAGAAATCGAATTAAATGTTGCTTTATTGATCTGAAATTATTTAAAAAACAAACTATAATGATTCACAGTAATGATGAAGTATTTTCTATGTCTACACTGCCTAGCGTAACATGTTGCATCTCCCCTCCATCGAGACTACCCTCGTAGGATAATTTTTGTCTGGTTCTTCTCCTATGAGGGAAGGAAGCTGGGGGCGTTTATTGAGGCTCTTTGTAGAGATGTTTGTTGGCTCAGAGTGTGGAGTGGCAATCGCCGTATCCGTTCTTGTTATCCTAATTAGCTTTATATGCCATTAATAGCTTTTTTATGGCGCCGAGACTCAGCTTAATAGCCTGAACGCGAAGCTATTCGAGGATGTCCCTCAACTTGACAATTTCAAGCTCGCTTCCGAGAACAATTTAATTATATTTGCTTGCCTCTAATTAACTTATGTTTTGAGATTTGTAGCTTGAAAAGAACTGACGAGTCCTTGTTATGTCATGTTCTTTCAATGAAGGGGATCATGCGAATTGCATGGCTATATTTAGCCTTAGGCGTACTTTGTAAAATACGAAATATTTTCTTGATTTCTCGTCTAATTATGTTATCTCTTGTCCTCTGCGACTTAATTTTTGTATTTGTAGAAAAATTAATTTGTAAGTAATCGAGTTTTTTCTGCACTCGGAGTTTATACAATTTTACCCTATTTTTATTGTGCGGCACGTTTTGCAGGTTATCCAACAATTGCTATATGATTCAATGAGTGTTACTGATAAACATTTTCTAAATGGATGATTTCAATGTTTAACTTGTCTTGTATAATGATCTAATATTATACTGACGCGTGTTCTATAAAAGAGATGATGGCTGCATATGTAAGTTCGGATAGTCTTTCAATACGCGTAAAATGCCTTTATTGCTTTTGTGGTTGAGAAATTTGAATATTTTAAGCAATATTTAGATGCTAATAGGAAATTTCTCATATTCGTGTTATGCTCGTGTGTATAGAATCGTAAATATAAAATTTAGAGCGCAAATAATCAAGTTAAACGCAGACGCTGCATTATTAAAGCGAAAACATTTGATGGGAACCTGGAGCCTATCTATCACCATTCTCGCAAGTTGGCACTCGACGGCAAGCTTGCAATGGTACCGCGCCCGATCAAGTTTCCTAATTGTTTCCTTCTGTTTGACTTTGCTTGATGACTAAATTTACGCCCAAGTGAGACTCAAATTAAATTTACGAGTGCGCTGCAAGATGCAAATGTAGAGGAAGTTGTTGGTGCGGCAGAGGCAGAGCGTACGTATATGTTTGGCAGTCTCGGCAGTTTAGCGCAACTCATTGTGAACTTTGGACTCGTTGCCGTCTCCCAAGTTATTTGCCATCCGAGTTATAAGGTTTGATCTGCATGACAGTCCTCACACATCTAAAAGCCGCTTTCTCGTCCTATCTCTACCAGTACCCCACTTGGAAACAGGCAAATAGTGAATCCCTGCTACGGGGATTGCTGCTCTACAGCCAGTATAGACGAATATATTCGATAATTCAAGCCGTGGTATCGGTGGTCATTTGATAGTTTGCAGACGGTAGGCAGTTTTCGATACAGTAACGGTTATTGTCTAATCGGGTATTCCTGTACTTTAGTTATGTCATCGTTATTCAGAACTGACTTTCCGTGGCGCGGTGCGAGTTTTGCAGCAAGATGCTTTTTAAAACTTTACCGCTACCCATAACTTGCTCCTAGCTCGCTTTTAACGGACTACTTCGTTACCAAGATCGAAGTTATGGTGGCGCTGCAGCAGTGTTCCTACCGGTGATCACACTAGCTGTGATTATCTCTGTTAATTTTTGATTGCGCGGTGATAATGGTTTGGGGACGCGTATTTGATCCAATTTGAAAGGTCACTCTGTGTGTTTTTCTTGTATCGTCATTACTACGTGAATGATTTCTTTTTAGTCTGCAATTTCTTTTCATTTAGCAAGATGGATGGCAAGTGTACATATAACTAATTGAGCTGTTACGTTACTCCAATTGTGGTGCTTGCAAATGTCTTGGCATGTAATAATGATACTTTGGAAGTAATCTCACGCCCACCAACGACAGGTGTTGACTTCGTCGTCACAACTTGGAGCGATTACTGAACTTTTCGGTAGCCTCAAGTTTCCCTCTGGTCTTGATCGCTTGAGTTGTGATGCTTCGGCTAAAAGATGAGGTGGAGTAAGTGAAGGATAGGACGTTGGTTCAGGATCATCGAGGAAAACCCGCACCTTTGCCTCCAACTTGACTTGATGCTTGTAACTGCCTACCGATCGAACTCTCCTGCCTACCAAAAGCTCGGCGAGCGGTGTCGAGGTTACATTTTGCTCAGAGTCGAGGTCCGATTCAACCTCTGCTTCTGACGAGCCATATTTTGCGTGCACATTTGCCGTTCACCATTCACTATGTATATTGAAGCGATTTTAAAAAGATTTGAGCCTTAAAAATGAACAAGAACATCAGTTATCGTGCCGTAACCCTAGAATTACGGTATATTGAGCTGCAATCTCAGAAACTTAAGGTTTCAATCAGATATCCACTTGATATATTTGTGAGATTTAGTTCAAGACCTGTATTATAACGGTCACATCCGTTTGAATCAAACTACACAAGTCGATTCAAATTTCTTATATGTAGATTTTATCATTTACTGTTCCGTCTGTCCATTACTGTCTACGCCTCTACGGTATCCGTGAATACAGTGTTACGAAGTTTGAAGTTTCATAGTTAAACTCCGCTGCTATAAGATTTATTCAATTTCATTTCTATTCATAAGTCACGATGATCGCATTCAAAACGTTTCAACAATTTAATGAAATATCTTGAATATTTCTATTGTACAAATGCTGAGAAGTATCAACTTTATTCGCCCACCAA